ATTCGAACAGGCGTGTCGAGGAATCGGAAGTCAAGACATTTAAAGAGGGAGATAAGGGGGTAGCTGGTACAGTTTTACGGGAAATAAAAAGGGCTTTTTACAATTTACAAGGAAAAAAGACGTTTTTACAGTTTACGGTGAAAATTGAATTTTGCAGTGAATTGTGTCATCTAGTCGTTTTACAGTTCCGTTCGAAAATGTAATTTCCCTGGATTATTCTTTACGACTTTTTCCATTTGGATGTAAATTCTTGAACGTACCGAGAAAAATAACACTTTTTTACGGTGTACGAAAAAAATATTTAATTGATTACGTTGTACGTCTAGCCTGTGGTTACAGAATTACAGAATTTATTTTTTCAATTTACGTTGTACGAAAATATTGCAATTACGTTGAACGAAAATAACCTTTGCCTCCATTAAATAAGCTTTTTAGAAATAAAGACCTTCAATGTAGAGTCTAAAATTACGGGAATGACTTTTAATGGCAAACACTTGCCTGTGGTGCGCGGTAACACATACTAGTAGTATCATTGAGGTGTCCTCACCTCATTGTGACTGGTATATGATAGAGCTCCCCCATGAAGATCCGTCGCATGTTAGAAACTGCAGATACTACAGGGGCGGATACAGGATTTTTTATGGGGGTTCCAAACTTTAAAATCACCAGACTAAGTTAATGATTTTTTTACATTATACAAAAACAAATTGAATAAATTTTTCAACGGGGGGTCCGGACCCCAAGAACCCCCCCCCCTAGATCTGCCACTGTACTAGCTGGCCATTGCTCACGAAGGATTCCACCACTCCAAAGTGATTTTTTTGGGTACTGTAACAAAATGACCTAGACTGCCCTGAAATTATTAGTAATTGTATGGTTGTGCTAAACAAGGGACGTGGTTGTGATTATTCCTCATCTCATGATCAGCATCACAGGCTTAGAAACGATATTTGGCGAGAACTGTCGCCATGCACATGATGTTGTCTCGTTGTCTCATGGGAGCGGGGCGATTTTCCCAACTGAATTTTCATCCATATTAAACAAAAAATATTTTGCAAAAACACCGTCCGGTAAAGTTGGATAATAACAAATAGCATGAGGGGCCTTGTTAGGTATGACGAAGTTTGTAGTTTTTGGGCCAGCAGACTATCGTGGCCATATTTTGCATGAAGGTTATTTTAGTTTTCTCAGGTGGGACGAATTCGATATATCTTTGTCCGACAATTTCAGAATTCTGCCTGACGACACTCCTTGTATTTTCATAGTGCAATATACACAACCATACACACATCCAAATTCTATTTAACCATTTATTAAACATTTTAAATTTAATATATCCTTATAAGTTGGTGGAAATATGCACTACTAATACTAATTGTGTCTTTCATTGGTATCCACTAATTGAGTTGCCTGGTACTATACACAAGTTTCTTGCTTTCACGCCGTTTGCACACTCTGACTTTCCCTATTATCATTATCATTATGCAAAAAATACCATGCTTATCAATGACATGTTTATTCATTTTACACTGAACTGGTCTTACTATAAGTAGTTAAATATAAATTACCATCCAGGTCATTATTTAAAAAAATTACAATGTTTTCAGTGTAGATACAGCACTATTGGTTTATTATAAAAATCGTAAAGATTGTGATATGTTAATTTTGGCTTTAATTTTGTAAATTTTGCTGTATTTTATGTTCTTGTACCTATTAGTTATTCATGAAATCACAACGTCTTTGATCAACATTATAAAACAAACACTTTGAAGTATTTTACACGAAAACAAAATATTTGTATTGACTCTTATATTGACTCATGCGTATATTTGGATTGTGAACTGACTCTTACTAATGTATGAAGACTCCCGCTAAGCTAACAACATACTATGATTACTATCCAACTATTTATAACACGACTCTACTGGTAGTATTTCCTCATTTCTCACAAATACCGTATCCTACTACCTCTTCTAAAAAATCGTAGTAAATATTTCAAGGTCTTTAAAATGGCGTGCGGTTAAATTCAACTAATAAAAATTAAAGTAAAATAAAATTGCTGCATGAAAACATCCAACTCGTTTTACAACGTATCAAAACTTATTCATCGGAATAGGTGTCGAAACTCGTTAAGAGTAAAAAAAAAACACCAACGACAGTATTGAATTTAATGTAACAATAACATTGTATAATCTATTGTATTTTCTAGTAACAAAAAATGTCTTGTGAAATTCAACTACGTGAATCAGACGAATTCAAAATAACTAACATAATATAAATAGAACGGCTGTTTACAACATTACTTTTTAAACAATATCCAGGTGATTATCTTTTAATCTAATTAATAATAATGATGATAAAATGAGATTGGCCTAACAGTGGTAAATCCTATATGTTTATCTAACGGTAAATCACCATCGTTAATATAATGTTTTTCTCTTATAATTATATGAAACAGATATAACTTTTTAACAAAACTGTAAAAAAACAGATAAATACTAAAAAGACTGAAATATATTATATAAAGAAATAGAATCATATTTTAATAAGATTTATTTTGATCATTAATCAACTTAGATTATGCCCGTTATTCAAAATCTCATTAGAACTTGTAAATACAATTGACATACAATGCCCGACGTTACCCAAACGAGGGCATTATTTGAGTTAGAACCAATAGGTACTATAAACGTTGTTGCTCAAACGACGTCTCATTCATGATATGGTCACGGTGGCAAGGAAGTGTATCGGGGCCAACCGATTTATCTCTTTTTGAGCAGGAAGTAACACATTCTCGATCGATTTCTGTGTTGTTATTTTCCTGTTTAGAGTATCAGATGACCAGTTTACAATTTTCTCAATTTGCCGTCATCAAATTCATCGTCTCCATTAAAATCCATATTCTTTACTCGTTTAAGACAACCTTTCATTATAAAATGGCCCGCTGTCCAAACTTCCAGTCCACATTTGCTGTATTTCGCATTAAACAAACGTGTAAAACAATTCCAAGTCAGAATCGGGACTAGTTACGTGAAGAACCCGTTATATGAACAAAGTATAGGTCATGATGAAAGTAGCCACCCACCCCAACCACACACCCCCACCCCACCCCCCGTCATTAAGTTGCGTACTTGGGTATATGAAGTAAAACCGCATAATAACTTTTTCTTCTAAATATTAAGAGTAATATATTTAACCAACAGAAATTATGCCCATTTGTTCAAAAAATTAGAATACACAAAAATGCACGAAACGGGAAAAAACATAATGGCGTTAAACACTCATTTGTTGTGCATCTTCCTTCAAATTGGTTCATACAAATAATTCTGCCAACGCTGGTCGATTTCTTTGAAAACTTTTTGAAAACAAACTCATTTTTATCACTCTGGTTTATAGTTGGTTCGACATCTTGTTTGTGTCACTGTTATTAGCACATTTCCCTTTCTTTGTGCCTACAACCATAATAAATGCCTTTGTGATTAGTTTCGTACTATTGTGCCATTATTGACTTTACTTATTTACCAGATTCGCCGAATTGAATTGCCTGATCCGTAGAAACGTGACAATTGACACAATGCATGGTGAATTGGCACACATTCGTGTACACATGATTATTTCCCGAAAGTTTTTTCTATAATTATAACTAAACAATATATATGTTTCATAAGTTGACAATTCTCTCTCATTTGACTTAATATGAGAACGAGAAAAAACATCCCAACCAGCAATATTACAATGTCACGGCGCCCAAAACATTTTCTGTATTGGGATGGCGGAAGGTCACAAGAAAAACGAGCACATTCACATTCACATATCTGTTCGTATTTTTGACACCTGGATATTTGGGTACATAAAGTAACGAGCCAATATCATGGAGCTAAACAAAATGTGGCGGAAATAGAAGGGTGTATATACTCATATGTATCCAAGCATATACAAATATCCCTTTCAATACAATGCAGCAATAACGACCCCCCCCCCACACACACACACACACGCACACTCATCCAACCACCCACACTAACAACTTGCATCCGCCTGTGTTATACACAAATAATAAATAGGGCATTGACATTTCACAAATTAATGTCCAGCCGCACGTACGTGTGTGCGTGGTCCATTACTACACACGCAATGACATTACAACACATGATCTGATTTCCCTGACGTTTACACTAGTGTTTTATTCCATGCTCACAAAACCAAATATATGTATATATGTCACCAAAATAATTTGCGCTTAAAGGACTGTCCAAACATCCATGAGAATGGTTATTTTGAGCCATTTACAATTGAGTTTTATGGTAAAAAGTTCTCACCATATCTCAAAATTGCTTTCGTTACATGCGTAAAAATGTATATGTACTATCAGAGGTACATTACTTAGACATTCTGAAAATTACTATTATTTGTTTGTGTATAATGTTGTGACATGGAAATTGGGTGAGACTTCCTTATGCTCCCTCACCTGTAACTTTAATTTTAACCCTGCCCCTCCAGTGCCACTCTTCGGGACACGTACACGTATAGTTATTTGGAGGATTAGGGGATGACGCGGTCTTAATGAACTCTTATTTCAAAAACTATCCATTTATGCATCTTTTTGGAAATTTGACTCTAAACAAAAATTTGGTGCTGAGGAAAAAACTGAAAACTTGATGATGTGTGTCAAAATTAGTATGTCGCAGACACTTCGGAAACAAACAAATCACCTGTCTTTATTCAGTCGAATATCCATTCAGACAAATGATTCTGAGTGAGTATCTAAATATATAGAAAGCACACTGGGAAAAAACAATGATTGCGGTTGTATTATTATTATTATTATTAAGGCCTTATAAAATAACAGAATCACACGTCATAGCTGCAAAAATCTTTGTACGCGATGACCTGTGCCTTTTTATAGCCGTCTGACCCGGAAGTAATGTTAGTGTGTTATTGTTCAAAGTGATTCGAAGCATGGTGTTGGCTGGACGAGGGTTGCAAGAGTCACTGTGACTATGACTGTTATCATGAATTCTCTTATTGCTGAAGTGAAGAAAGGCAACATCGAAGGTGTGGAGTCAATATTGAAGCACTCAGACAATTGCAGTATCGTTAACTTTCAAGACACCGACAGACGGGAGACCGCACTCTTCACTGCGTGTGCCCAGGGCTTTTTAGCTATCGTGCAGTTGCTGATCTCGTTTGGCGCTAATCTTGGCTTATACACGGTATGGGGAGCTACACCTCTACACGCTGCAGCAGAAAATGGCCACGAGCAGATAGTACGGTAAGTTTTCAACTGAAACAAACTCCCCTTAAATGTCACCTTCCAGAACCGGTGTTACGCGAGATCGTTTGAATTGCTAGTTGTAGCTATAGAGGACCGCCATGGTATGCGGAACAAGGAAATAGCAAAACAAAAATCAATTGATATCGTTTTTCAGACTTAGGGCAAACCATTCTATGCCCAATGATGGACTGAAAAACAATAAATTTCTCCTTCCCCAAATCAGTGAATGATTGTCATAATATATTTACAGTTTAATATCGCGCCAAAGTCTTGTAGTATTCGCGTAGTCAAGACCTATATAATCTATACAGTTGTATAGAATTTTGACCTGAGGTCACCGAACAACTCGATATACTGTGTTAGACATTATAAACATTTTAATGCATGTGTTGTTTTTTGTATATGTTGGGTTAGAACATATATAGAAAAAAATATTTCTTACTTTATTGGTTAGAATGACCGGGTTCACATGTGGTCTTGCATTTTGTGTATTTTTTCATCATACAAAAAGTATCCGATCAGTCACACAGGCACGATGTATATACCGGATTCTGCTGTAAATTCGTTCTCGTAAAAAAATTTAATGAGCCCAAGAAATTTTCAGCAATTTTTAAAGTTGTTTTTTAAATATTTTGGCGTAATTATTCAGACATTTCAATCTTTCCTGACGCCTAAAATAGAGTTTAAGTTTTTATTCAAGAGTATGTTTTTTGTGACTAGAGTGAATGGGTAAGATTCATTTCGACAATGAGCTGTTATCACTGTAAACAATGTTAAATTATTCTTCTAATGCTCAGTTTATCTTTTGAAAACAACTATTTTTTTTATCTTAAAAAAAAATGCCGTTTTCCAATCAAAATCAAAGCCAAAAGACCGTACTACAACATTGGCAAATCTCTTCCACATCGGAAGTGGTCTAAAAACGGGGACTTATGTGTTGACTTTCATCCGTGTGTGTGTGTGTGTGTGTGTGTGCATCTCCACCTATAGCTTGGATATGCTTGATCTGATTACATTCAAACTTCACAAACGCATCGCATATCTCAGGCGACATATGCACTTTGATTCATTTCATGATCTGATTAAAGATGGCTGAATGGCGGCTATTTTAATGTGAATAATTCACCAAAACCAAATTTTTTTCTATTTCAAAACCAGATCTTGATCACGCATGAACAGTTTTTGTTTTAACTTTGTACATGGATTAAAGTTAATGGGACATTGATGCTCTCATTTTTTTAGTCCTCGTTGGGACACAGTCCGAAAACAGGGACTTATGCAATGTTTCCTCCAGCTTTGTATTTGTGGGGGGATTTTTGTCCCTTCAGATCAGAATAGAGGGGGATTTCCTATAACAAGGGGGAAATTTCTAATAAGCATAAATTTTCTTATTGAAACATTAGCAGTATTTTTTCATTATGTTCTTCATTGTTAGCAATTGTTATGTTCTGCATTTTGTGTTCTGAAATGTATGTTATTTCATTATTTGTTATTATTTTAATGTTAATAACATTCTGAACATTACCTTACAATCAGAGTAAACCTTTCTATAAATGTACCAGATTCTGCCATAAATTTGCCCTTGGCCATTAAAGTGCCTGTGAAATGGCTGCTATTTTTACGCCTAAAATTATCCATTGATACATAAATATTATTAATTTTTATGTTTCTAAGCATGAATTATTTTTTTTAAGTGAAAAAATGTGTTTTAAACTCAGTCTACAGCAACTTTATTTTTGTGTATTTTAAAACGAGGCTCCTCATTAGCTTCTCGTTTGCATACAGAAATTCCCCTTGTGACGTCAGAAGGGGAAGTCGCATGGCAGCTTGCATTGCTGATAAGTGTAAATAAGGCAAATTTCTTGTACAGTTTTCTCGTCTTTGACTAAATTGTCACTTATGTACTTGTTCGGCGAGAAAGAATGGACCATAATGAACACATAGTATAAATTTTTGTTCCATGGGGTTGAGTTAGATGCAAAATATGTCCGTTCTGGTGTAGTTGGTCACCGTGATCGTCGCCGACACCGGCGCACGTTTGTACACTGTCGCTGGACAAAATAGAATTTGACGTCGGAATTATCTCGTTATTTAGCAGGTTACTAGGCACGTCACTACATTGTTTTATTTCATCGATCGTCTGAGTAAAACTTTTCAAATTAAAATAAAAGAGAACATATTTTGACATTCTAAACATTAGACCATAGTGAAAAACGACAAATCACAGTTACTAAATAAATGACAGCCGCGTGGAAATAAATTGACATTTTGTTGAAATAGGTGAACGCGTCGGGTCACGACAAGGGCAAGTGCGTTAAAAGCAGCGTTTAATTGGATAGCAAAAATAATCGAGATCGACACACATACAGATAAATTCAGAGTGGATTCGAGTTAGCGTGATCCATGGCGTGATTGTCATAATTATAACATCTTATTAAAACTTTACTTGGTGGAAACTCATTGACAAAGCCCGGATTCTTATTTCATAAATTATTACACAGATCAAGCTGCAAGCATGGAGGCGCTCCATGCATGAAGGTAAAAAAAGAACAGAGGTGTGAATTCGACATTCAACACCAATCACCAAACAATTCAGAGACTTTTAGCCACAGTCCCTCTATAGATAGAGGGACTGTGCTTTAGCCTTCGAAAATGAAAACAATTAGCAGTGTGTAAGGCTGTGTAATTTCCTATTTGTTCGACGCTTCGTTTTTGTGTCACTGTCAAAATTATTGCTGTCTTTTTACTTAACAGGAACTAAATGGTCTCTATAAAACGATAATCAGGATTGCAAAAAAAGTCAGCTCATTTGAAACACTTGCCGGACGTCTCTCTCTCTTCTGATATCCGCCTCGGTGATCATGGGCTGGTCCGTAATCTATTTCTTTCAAAAGTGTTGTGTCAGGTTTACGTTGTCGGCGTTTCTCTTTAAACCCAGTTGTTTTTTTCATGAACGAGGACAGTTTTTCCAAAAAAAAAAAAAAAGAATCTGAGGTTAAGTGGCTTTCGTCCATTGATGTTGCACCTTCGGATCGATTAGAGACTTGTGAATACATACACTATGACTATACGTTTCACTGCAACTGCCCACAACACAACATCTAAAAACTCCCTCTCAAAAAAAAAATAAAATAGACAAAAAAAAAAGAAAAAAAACGCCGACCGAAAAATGTATATATCGTTTAAAAGTATATTGAATGACCAGTGTTATTACGGCTCAGGGGTATGACTTCCTCTCACATTTTGTCATTTGGTGGCGCACTTTCAACGAGAGTCGGAAATCCGGAAACAGTCGACCATTTCAGGATAGGTGGGCATGACTACAACACAAGAAATATCCCAAATTTACTTGGATAAATCAATCATTTTCAGCAAAAATATCAATAACTGCCCATTTCAGTGGGACACAGATCTAAAATGGGAAACGGGTGGGCATTGCACCGGCACTTTAAACGGCAATTTGGTTTTTGAAATAAAATGAGACCAAGAAATCATGTTTTATCAGCAGGTTTTTAAGGTATTTTTTTTATAAATATTTTGGCGTCATTATTCAGACATTTAAATCATTCCGTACGCTTAATATAGTCTAATTTAAATTTTACCGTAGTCATTGACTCCTATTCAAGAGTATGATTTTTATCCTGACTAGCGTGAATGGGTAAGCTTTTTTTTCGACAATGAGCTGTTATCACTGTAAACAATGTTACATTTTTCTTCAAATGCTCAGTTTATCTTTTGAAAACAACTAATTTTTTGTTTTAAAAAAAAATCATGCTGTTTTCCCATCTAAATCCAAGCCAAAAGATTGTACTACAATATCGGTAAATCTCTTCCATGTTGCGTTCAATAACATTAACATATTAAATGAGCTACGATAATTTGAGCACGTTGGCATCATCCACCATTTTGATTGGTTAATTAGCGATTTGACCTATCAGGTCAAAGAACTCTGTCCCAGGTCATAATATGGCGGATATTCTCCAGCATCAAGCATTTAATTAATATGCGACCGGAATCATTCGCTTACAATGAAACTAAGATGAAATTTATTTGTATTTCATAGCAATTCAACGAATTAATTTTTTTACGTTAATATTATCACTACTAATTAATAATCAACAATTGTACGTGCAAAATAATTAATTAAATCATGTAACAAGCAGGAAGGACATTTCTTTGTTGCTTGGCAAACTGCTTCACCCTGCCACTCTCGCACTCCGAAAACTCAATGCGGGCTATTCCAACTTACGTATGTATACCCAAAGAAGGTACTGTTTTTAAATATAGTTGGCGCGTCACAGTCCAATACACGCATAGGCTATTATTAAAAGAATTCAATGGGCAGTGAGGAAAAAGGCGATTTTCGCCCTTGGAGTATTTTTTTTTTAAAAGGGTGCACAAAGTGTAGTAGACGGGGAAACGCGCATTCTAGAGTAAATACTGCTTATGTTTTGACCTCTGTGCGTGTGTGCATGCAGTCGTCCGCACCTGTATCTTAGACATGCCTGGACCAATCACAATCAAACTTCACATATACATCATACATGATATTATACATATGCACATCAGAGCCATGTATTTGATATGCTCTGACCGTTAATGTTCAAACTTTATACATTTCTTAAACTTGATAAATAAATTTAGTAAGTAACAGCATATGATCCTCTCAATTTCAGACTCCTATGATATGGAATAAATTTAGAGACTCTAAGGTTCTAATTAAAACTGATAGGAATATTAACAATTAAGATTAAGATTAAAAAATATGTCACCAATAATTAGAAAGCTATGTTTAATACATGTCATTTACTTTAGAAGATGTCTAATGTAAAGGCCTAACAATCTACTATACTTAAGTATAAGTTGTATTCCTAGTGTTTGAAAATGGTAATCACTATCAATACTTTCACAGTACTATTAAATTAAATGGTCATACTGAACTCAAATATATAAACATACCCATAAATCAAAATGCAAAAGCTAAAACATACCGCCGT